GAAAGTTATATGAAACATTATTTAAATAGCTTTGTCAATAGGGTAGGTTAGGTTAGGTTAGGTTAGGTTATCGGGTTTTGTTCAAGTGACCACCCTCTTTCGATCCCCCACCTCCACCCGCTTGAAAATAATCTTTTTATTGAATTTTATTTGAATTATTGTGTATGAAAATTCTGAAAATAATCAACTTTCAACCCCCATAACTTTTTGTGGGGGTGAGACCGCAGCAAATTTTTTATGGGGTTTTACTCAGGTGATCAGCCTCTTTCGATCCCCCTACCCCTACCCCCGAAGGGGGTGGGGGGCCATAATCTAATCCCCATAACTTTTTATGGGGATGAGACCGCCACGAACTTTTTATGGTACAGTTGTTTGGGAGACCTCCTCTTTCGATCCCACCCCCTTCAGCCTAAGAAATGCACTAGTACATTTTTTGCTCGATTTTCCTATTTATTGTTCGCGTCTCTGCATCAGTTTCCAATCTACCCTTGTAATTTTAAATAAGTTTTTATTTTATTCTGATTAAAAATCAAAACCGACTTAGAGTGTGTATAACCGTAGAATAACTTTAAAAAATAATTGTAAATAAAAGATTAGATAATTGTGTGATTATGCTGAGATGAACAGAAACTCACCGAACTAATCGAGCACCTGTCCATTGCCAGGACGAGGCTGCCAAAATTTTTCCAAGCAGGTCGGCTCCGTTAAATATAGCCATCATGAGAATTGGCATCCACGATCCCAATCGACAACTTACTATTTCAGAAGCGATACCTGGGTATAAGCACAAAGTGGTGAAATATGCTAAGCAAATCGAGATCATATACGGATAAATTGCCTTTGTTATTTCCCAACGTGCTTGTATTCCTCCTATAACATAAAAAAAAAGTATCCCACAATACCTTATTTCTATGGAAGCATTTATTATAAATGTGTATCTATATATGTTATAACGAAGCTCGACAAATATATTTTAATTTTTTGTGACTGAATCTAAAGGCTAATTTACACTATACGTCTAGACGACGGCAGGCAACCGTCCGTCAGTTTTATTATGATTACACGTTTTCGTCGCGATTTTTAAAAATTATTCGTTTACTGATTTAGGCAGTTATTGCTCTTTTGTTTGAAAAAGCAGATGAGGAGATGAAGAAGAAAAGGCAAACAAGAAAAGCAGTAAAATAAACAAAATTGGGTACACAAAAGTTTATTGGGCAAAAAAACCGTATGTTAGATAATAATGAAGTAAAATTTCTTGAGTACTTCAGAATAATTCTGAATAATATTTTGATCTAAATGATAGTGGAAATCAAGCTTAATAAATATTTTAGCGAGCACGAGTGTGTTTGTTTGCGATGGGGTACACGTGTGTGTGAACGGCTTATCGATTCGCCAACTAGCCGCGGGCGCCTTTCTTCATGTGCGCCGTATTTGTAAATGTGTGTGTCGTACCTGCGTTCTGGGAAAGCAGTTAAACAGTTCAAAGAAAAAAGAAATTATCCGGATGTTTCGATAAGTTCCCGAAAGTAAACAAAAGAGTATTTAAAGCAAGAGACGATCGCCGAGAGAAGTAGAAATAAATTGACCGTTGCAGAAGTGAATCCAGATATAAATTGACAGCGATAGCAGTGAAATAAATAGCGCAGTGAATAGTGATATATCAACAGTAGTGTAAATAAATAGAATAATTCATAACCTAAGTTTAGTAATAATTTAATAGTGTTTTTAAGTTCTTTAATAATTAGTGTAAATAAATAGTTTTTGTCGTTATCAGTC